CGCAGTGGGTATTGTGTAAGGGGAAAAATATTTGAAAAATTTAATTTTGTCTAAAATGCGCCAAGTAGACAAAACAAATGTGGAAGAAGATTTCCACACAACCCCCCTTCAAATTGCTGGCTCCGCTTATTGCTCTCATAATATTGTCTAAGTTCAAGTTAATATTTTGAATAATGCCACATCGTTTGGGCGTCTAAGTGAGTCCCTGCTCGCCGGATATTTATGACTACAAATACATCAGCGCCAAAAGCAGTCGGTATACAGTGGCGAGCTAAGAGAATCCCTAGCACACTTTCCCGAGTCCTTCGAAATGGTTCGCCATTTTTCTTGGCCCTAAGTCGCGCCTTTTGTCCATTATTGTCAGCAGAGTGGCGTGAAAAATACTGAAAACAAGTTGCGAAATCAGGGTCACAAATGGCTGTTTGACAACTTTGTTAGCGTGTAAATAAAAGGGTGTTTTCTGATAAAAGCTCCATTTGTTGGGGATTAAACTGACAAATTAAAAGTGGAACAAATCCCTAAAAAAGTTTTTTAATATCTTAGATATTTTTAATTATTTAAGATATTTTTTAAAGATATTTTACAGTGTATTATATTTTTATCGCCTGCCTTAACTGAAGCCTTTTAGAAGGCATAATTCCTCGCCTAAAAAAGCTAAGAATGCTCTCCAAAAATAATATCCCTCTCCATTTATCACATCGCGCGTACTTAGTATTCAGAAATAATTTATAAGCGGGATTACCCCGAAATAGAATTACATTTAAAGTGCATTGCCCTAGGTGGAATATTTTAATAAGCCGATGGCTCAAGTGCTCAGACCTCACTTAACCCGGCGACTTGTGGACCGGCATAAGGTCACTGTCCATGCCTCCGATTTGAGTAAGCTGAATTTCCAGGACTTTGCATGGATTTAACCAGAATTGAACTCTGGCGACCCGGCCTAAAAGCGAAGCTCTCTGCTTCCTGGAGGCAGCAAATATTTGCATGCGAGCTGTCCACACACTTGGAATCCTTGGGAATCCTTTTTTTTGGGAGCAGAGATTTTCCACCCACACTCTTTTGGAGAAAGGAAGGCGGCTCTTTTTAAATCTATTTTAATGTATGCAGCAATTAAAAATACATCAGTTTACTTTCGGGCGCCTTTGACAGCAGCAGCATCCACTTCCTGGGTCCGGAGTCCTGGGTCCTGTCATTTAATGCGCCATTTTGGGCTCATTAAATTTCATTGCGTTAAATGTTCCCATGTCAGGCATACATTGAGTAATTTTTTGTTATATTTTTCAACCACTCTGTCTCGCCTTCGGCATAATTTCAGCATCAAATAAAAGTAATGAAGTGTTGAGAGGCCTCGGCGCAGGGTTGATAAGATTCCATTAAACGGTGATGTCAGCGCGACACCTTCATTTGCATAAAGACCAACACGTGTCGGCGGCGACTGTCATTGAACTGTCATCCGATCCCATTTCGAGTCCCTTCCTCGTTTCCAACTTCCATCACTTCCTGTTTTTGCCTAATTACGCCCTGTGCAAAATTCATTAAATGCCCCGACACCCTAATCAGCCCTGTCTGTCTGTATGTCTGTTGGCTAAATTTAGTCGGCATCGCAATTCATTAAAAAGAACATCCTACTCCGAGGTCCTTGGAATCTGTGTAGTTGTCTAGGAGGTTGTCCTGTGGCATCCTCTCCAGCCCACTTGACATATGTACTGGGGCCACAGAGTTTGTTTATGTCGCCATCTAATTGCGGCCAACTTAAAATCCACTCAAGTCATGAGCACCTGTAAAGGACAACTGCCTTTACAAAATGTGAGCAATCCAAGTTACGAGTACTTAGGTTTTCACACAGAATCGAACAAGAAAAGTGTACATAAAATATTGATTAAAATGTTTGACTGGTCGTTGCCTCCCAATACTCATAATAATATTAAATTAAAGTGTGTTCATAATAAATGACTGACACTTTAGTAAATTAATAATTGAAAACACTATCAAATCAATTTTGTTTTAGTTGTACTTTCGCTTTAGCACAGGAAAAAAGAGCTTATAATTAAATATTTATGATAGGATAAACAAATACAAAACACTTTAATTTCAGCACTTGCACTTCCTTGTCCTTATTGATTTTTTTATTGCTTTGTTTTGCCAAATATTTTATTGCCTTTCCCTATTTGTTTTCCCGAAACAACTTTTCGAAACTAGACTAAGCAAAAAAGAACGAATTTACCACGGCAAAACCCATCTCAGCACCAATAAGAACAATAGCCGGGCAATAAAAGAAAACTTTTGTTTTTGGGGACACATTTCGGGGAACAAGCGCAAAAGTACAATCATTAAAATTAATTACACAAACATTAATGTGCCGCTGGCAATTAGGATCCCAGCCGACAGAGGTGAACCCCGGCCCACCAGAGATTCTACAATCTCCGCCTGCCTCCTGTCAAGGACTCCGATTGGCAGACCACAACCAAGTAATTCTTGTACGCACCCCAAACACTCAAAGAAAAATATATTAATTAATTTTAGATTTAAAACTTAATTTATTTATAATCTTCATAATTTTTTTTATTGATTTGACCATACTTTAATTTAATAAAAATCAAAAAAATATGTTAAATAATATATATATGTTAAATATATAATATGTTAAAAAGGATATTATAATATTACAATAATTTCTTACCCTCTACTAGAGAACTACAGAGCATTAGAGATTTTTTTAAATAAGCGTGTAATTTTTTCCAGTGCACAAACACACACAATGAGGCGCCCACAGAACGCCCACAAGACACACACAATCACAGCAGTCGACAATAATGAATACTTAATAAAGCGGCATTCAAGGTGGTCGGACTTTCAGTTTCAGTCAACAACAAACAAAGGCGGCCAGCAGGCCAAAGACCATGGCTAAGGCTGCGGGCCAAGTTTACCTTTGTTTGGACCCACTTGTCCACCTCCAGCTCTTGTTCCTTGTCCCATAGTCCTTGTTCGTTCTGCTCCTTTTTCGCTTTTTTGTTGTTGTTATTTTTTCTCCTTGTCGGGCGGGAAATTTTATTTCAATTATCAACACCCAAGCGAACGGCATTTAGTATTCAAGTTGATTTAATTTGTCTGCAGCAACCTGCCGTTAAAGGCACGAATACCAGATGGGTTTTGGTTCGCTTTCTATTCGGATTCGTACTAAGCAATTACAGAACCAGCTGTACGTTTATATAAAAAAGAATATTTTAACCGATGCGAATTCCGTAAATCGAATTGATTGAAATCATAAAAACAAACGAGGCTTGTTGAGGACTGTAAACGCTTAATTGTGATTGATGGCATTTGTTTTCAAGTATTTTTAGTGGAATTCTACAACCCACAAACTAATAAAGCTGTTAAAAAATGGGCATCATAAAATTAGCATTCACCCTTGTTGACCCGTGAATTCTTTAGTCTATTAAGTGAACAATTAATCTAATTAATTAATTTATCTTTAACAAAAAACACACTTTTTAATATGTTTTATTTATAGCCCAATTTTACAAGGGTATGCAGATATAATTAGCTTTTGTTGCTTCCCTAAATAAATGTCAAATCCACGCCCACAACAAAATTCCTATTTTAAATTTAATAATAATCCCGCAAGTTGTCCTTCCCCCACACGAAACACTCTCTAGATTTCTATCGGACCACAAAGTGCAAATTGATAGCCTTATCACCGTAAAAATCGATACACTCGCAATGTGGGTAGACAACCACAGTTTGCACATTATTATTGTGGAAATTTTCCCAGAATTTGCATTGTAATTTTAATTAAGTTTTACAATTGTCAAAGGGGTCGGCACCCGTTGGTTTTGGTAGCGGAAATCAAAAAGTTGTAATATTAATAATGCATAGTGCAGAATCACAAATTTAGCGCACATTGCTAACTTTTTTGGTTGGTCAAATGTCAAGGGATTTCTGGGGAAAACAAACGTTTTGAATTTCCGTTTTAATTGGATTTAATTTGGATTTACAAGGCTTTGAAAATTATTTGATTCTGTGAATTTTGAGTAACTATTGGGGTAACTACAATTGCACCTTCCATATGCACTGTATTTCTCTCACACGCTATAATTGAGTAAATTAAATTATAAAAGGACGATTAAAACGAACCGACATGCAAACCACCACACGTCATCGCTGCGTATACGCAATGTAAATTCCGATTATTGTGAAGAGAGAAACGAGAAAAATTAAGGGGCATTAACTCTCTCATGCAACAAGTGGTTAATACTAATTAGGACTTCCCGGGTTGAATATGAGGCACAAGGACATGCCGATGACGATGACGACAACAATAAGGATGTGGCTTTCGATGTCAACAAGGCCGGGCAAACAATAACGGAAGCTGGAATATTTTCTGCAATCCGATGCTCCTTTAATTAGGCAGACTACTGGAGCCTGATGATGACGCTGATTACAGGCACTTGAGCCCAACATACGGAATATTCAAATAGAATTTTCATACAAAATATGTAAACTAATATTATACGAACAAATATAAAATTCTCATGTTGTAATCATTAAACTAAATAATTTATATATTTTTTCTATTCAGATTTATAAATTGTTTATAAATTTCACAACCTCTATCAAGGTTTTTTGATATACTCGATACCCACTGTATTTGTCATTAAAACGAAATACTCACTCTGAGCCTTGAATTTCTCTATTAAGCTCATTCAAAGGCGATTTGCGATTTGTAGACGCAAGATGGCAAACAAATTGGCATAAGCTGCTTGCATGCGAAGAGCTATTACGACATTCTTACGGGTTTGATAAGCGTGGGCGACATATACTCCTCACCGAGTAGGAGGTCCTATTTTTCCAATCGAGTGGGTGGGATATTAATAAAGCATCAACCTGTCAATTTCTAAAAGACCCTTGAATTTCTTAAATTTCTTGTATTTTTTTGTCAGTCCATCAATTCGTCAGTCCTGAAAGCAATTTAAACTCTTTTCTTCTTTGTGTTTTTACAGATATTCGAGACGCATTTCTAAGCATCTTCGTGGACGGACTTTTATTGAATTGTGCCAGTAATTCAAGCCAAAATAATGCAGGGAAATGTCAGCTGGATATCGGAAGTCCTTTTGTAGACCACAAACTCAACGTGGATGGGTGGAAAAATGCTGATAAATGGCAAATCAAGTGACAACGATGTGGAAAGTGATGGAGAGGCGCGGTTGTCTAGCAATTGGCTGAAACAGCTACACAAGTCATTGATATCAGATGTATATATATATTTATGTATTTTACGGGTGTGATTGGAGTGTGTGTGTGGGGCCTGAGGGCAGAACTGCCTCTTTATACTGCTATTTTTTGCCGAATTTTCCGTTTTTCCCGTTGCCATTCAACTCGCGACAATTGCCGGGCCATTTCGCATATTTACAATGCCTCGAAGGGTGATTCCAGCCGCTCTCCGAAGAACAGTTTGCCTTTGTCGCTTTCAATTTGTACCTAACAACTGTCAGACATTTGTCGTTTTGGTTTGGATTGCGCCAGTCACACGGAATTAAATTTCGAGCGCCGGTTTTTCGGCCCAATTGTGTGGAAATATGTCAACGCAAGGCAACTCCCCACTACCAACTCGTTGTGGGCTCTGCAGAACAGAGAAAAAATAATTTGCTCGACTTCAAAAAAGCAAACATTTCAACGGCTGATGGAGCACTATAAGGCCCAGCATAAAAAAAAGAACCAGGCATGAGTAAGCTGACGTTGATGAGATTTGCAGGGGCCAACAGAACCAGATCGTTGAATTTACGAGTATTGAAGCCGACTGACAGCTGGCATGTGCAAATATTCGCCAACGGGCATTCGAAATACATTTAACTGGAAACGCATTTAAGGTCCCTTTACGATGAAATTTTAAAAACAATATTCTCAATACATAAAAAAGGATTACCATTTTTTTGTATTTGGTTTTTAATAATTATATATTCACCTGTGGATTTTTAAAATATTACAACTCGTCTTTCACTCAAATTCCAGCAATATCAGTGCGGCTATAGACAAATATAAGGCCATGTGTGTGCATAATAAATTAACTATCTTTAAGTGCTGGCATAAAACTATTTTATCGCAAAATATTTCATAGCCAATAAAATGTGTCAGGTGTAAGACAGCCGACGAAGGCATAAGTGTAAGCTGCTCGACATGCTTGTAAAGTGTTTTCGAGCATAGACATAATTAAGAGAATATATGTAACTAGGCTTTACCCAGTTAGATTATCGGCTAAGCGCATCAAATGCTAAAAATAAATTGAGTACGGAAACCAAAGACCCAGACCCAAAAACCAAAAGTACGCTAAATTGTGCTGACCATGAGCCCCGATTTTGAAAGTCTAAGTCTGTCTCTGTCCTGAACTAGGCTTTCGAAAACATGTCACATGATTTGGTGGACTTTTGGTTATTTTTTACTTTGATCACATGTTTCCACTGCGTATACGTAATTATAGTTAATGTTAGTCAGCGTTTAAATATATTAAGTTGTATTTAGTGAAATTTATGGGAATACTCATTGATTGATCGATAAGATAAGGATATGTCAAAATGGCATTAAAGTACGAAAGGGTCTCATTAATGAAATTAAAATAGGAAAACCCAATTAAAAATAAATAAACTAAATAAGAAGAAACATAATTAATTATTAGCTACAAATAAATGTTGGCTGTTGTATCAATGTATTACGAACGAATAATGTAAGCTATGAAAACCTGGAACGGCATTTTTATAGATAAAGAAAAAGTTATTATATCCGTAGGCTAAAAAATTATAAAAAAAAATATGTTAAGCATACAAAAAACTTATTAGATAAAGTGAAATTCTACCTAAGATAGATTTTAAAAATCGTAAGAATAAGTATTTAAAATATTTAGAAGTTAGTAAGAATATCTTAAGAGAAACTTTGTTGATTCAACACCCACTAGTTAAGGGTTGTGTTTGTAGCAAGTACATGTTAAAAAGAAAAACAGAAAAGTGCACAATTGGAAATTACACCTAAATAGAAAAATTAAAACAGATCAATGTGGACATTAAAATACAGTAAAATTGCATGTTAAAAAGAAAAGATTAAATTTAATATCACGAATGAGACACAGCTGAGTATTAATCTTAAAGTAAAAACTATACGCATGTAGCCGAAAAAGATGTTTTAAAATACGGATTACCGACACACGAATAAATAATGGATGTTGAAACAAAGAGAGTGGCAGTTTGAATGCAAGAGGGGCCGGCTACATACACTCCCCAAGTATTTCCATAATAAACTAATTTCCAAGAAAGGCGATTGCTCCATCTTCTCAGCACGTGACAAAGTTGCCTGTCCTGCTGGCATGCTTTGATCAAATAAACAAACAAATGACAAATGGGGACCAATGTGGAGACAGGCGATTTGTCACTACCTAATTTATGTACCCAGTCGAGCGTCTTTGTGAGGGCGATGGAATTAACCCTCATCTGGGTCAACGGACCAACATGCATCCCACTCCGCAGGTGCAGTGCATCAGCAAATAGAAGGTGTGTTCCAGGGCTTCAATTAAAACGCTGGCATGCGAGAAGTTCGACAAGAAAGTTCATAACCGGATCGAACATTACAGAACAAGAAGACAATATGGGGAAAAACTTTTTCTTTTTCCTTTTTTTTCCGTAAAAGTTATGCCTGCTTAAGGTATTCTGCAAAAACTTTGCCAACGCTTATTGAATAACTATAAATTCCTCTATAAGTTATCAAGAATCTGCTAAGAGGATAAACCACTTTAACAGGGTAAAGTGAACCAAACTAAATAGTTAATTAGACGAATTTGCTAAGAAGCCTTTAAAAAGATATTTTCATTATTCACTTTACAATTTAATACTTTATAATTCAGAAAGCAAAACTCATCGAGAGCCATTTAAAGTTTAATTTGCATTTATGTCCGTGCTTGCGCATTTATTGCGCAATTATAAACTGAATGGCCCTTTGATTTTGATGATTACCGTTCGGCATTTGTACTTAAAGCCCAGGTTAACCGCAGCCACCATGGCAACCTGATAATTTCGCAAATATTGCCGATGGGCGGCCACTGGCATTGGCCAATTGAAATCATTATAAATCAACGGGTTGATGGATAGAGTAGTTATTAAAACGGGATATTTGCTTCTAACAGTGATAAAACTGTCAATGGGCAAATGTAAATTCGTTTACGTTGCTAATCGAATTACTCACCATAGGGCCTGCCTAATGAATATGCATTACTTGAATTAAAGTATACAAATTAAATATGAGCATTTTAGTTGAGTGAAAATTGTTTTCTTCAATAACAACACACAAGTATCCTAAGGGCGATCCAATGCCAATTGTGGCCTGTCATACTCCGAATAAGATTGCTACATTTCCCTGACATCTTGTGCCGACTTACAGGCGGACCCATTTCAAAATAGCTTTTAAGGAAGCAAACTAATAAACTGTCCGGACCAGAGCACTTCATCAAGCCGGAGGCCCCTGTCAAGTCGTGCTTACCTGGCCTGCAATTTAATCGTTACGAATGTGCGGTCGTAAGTCATATCCCTCCGAGTGACCCACTCTTCACTCGGAACCCAACAGAACCCCGGGCAGCGGTATTGAGTTAAGTGACATTATTTGGTTACCCATCCCGAGGAGAAAAAATATTGCTATTAGTAGGTTTGTAGCCAGGAGGAGATACGTTACAGCCAAGGTAAAAATATTATTACAAATTAAAAAGTATTTATTTGTTGAGAAATGCTGTGTTATATGGCTACATTTCGTTGAAAGCATATATTATAAATTATTTTAATAATTTGAAAAGTTGGGATGAAAAGAAACTATACAAGCTACCAAAACAAATATCAAGCTTCCTTGTAAAAGTTTTAAAAAGTGAATAAATAGATATGCGAATTTAGATTTCCTGCACAAATTATGTTTCAATGAAACTGAAACTCAAATCTCAATCTCTGCCTTTAGCAAATTAAATTCAGCAAAATCCTCTTATCTCCACCTGTGCTACAATTTCAACTACATAAATTGCCATTATGTATTTGGGTTGGAAAATAAAACAGCGTATCTGTTATTTGCTGTTGACTGGTTTCGTTGTACACGAGTTTTGGTCTTCTCTTTTTTATGGTCAAGTCCTGGAAACTATTTTGTGGCTCTGTCCACTAGCAAGCAAAAGTTATTTGTTGTGGGACTTCTTTTTCATTCTTTTCACTGCAATAAAATTTTTGTGTGACATGAATTATATGAGACTAAACGAAGGGGTGGAGGGTGAAAAAATAACCGAAAGCAGAACGGCAAAGCAAATGAGACGTCAACCGAGAATAGTTTACAAATTGCAGTTTTATGGCCAACTGAGGATGATGGAATAGCAAACTAGTTACCAAGCAGAAGAAAAAGCTTAAATAGAGTTCTTGAAATGCACAAAAAGAAACGTTACACAAACTTAACTTTAATAAAGTGTAACTAAAAAGCAAATAAATTCAATTAAAATTGAGCGACATTCTGACACATGTAAGCAGGCACATCTATCCTCGTCTATGGAAAGGGGTCCTAAACCACTTTACCCACACATTCCGACCTCGGAAAACAACGGGAACAACACGCAGAGCCCCGAAAGTTTCCTTTGTCAATGTGTCTGTGGGTTTCTCAAAACTTTCGGCGTGAAATGTGTCACTCAAAAGCAGCAGCGCCAAAAAACAACAGAACTTCCGCCAAGTCAAACAGTTGAGTTCGGCTGGTTCATCTTAGACGAAATACAATCAAGGAAAATAACGAAAAGTTCTTGGCGGATAAAGACGAAAGTTTTTGTATTAATTATTAAAACCAAAAAGAAAGTGAATATTAATATTTCCTTTTTTACTTTTCTTTAATATAAAATGGAAAAAAACAATTTTGCTTACTTGGATTATTTTAGTATTGAACACTGAATTAAATTTATACCTAAAAACTATACCGACTACATGCTTTCTTCTTAAGATTTTTCAGTTATAATAGTTAAAAAAATACCTACAAAACTGGGATTATTTTCTTATCCAACGAAACAAGGTTTCTTTTCTTTTAAAAGTTTTTTTTACCACTGAATTCCATTTGCTTACAATGCAAATATGCATGGAAAACAGCATTTATTCTATTGGATAAAGGAATTCTACCGAAAGAAATGCAGGTAATAAGTAGCTTAAGTAGTTACGAAGTAATTCAGTTGAATTTCCGAGCACAGCGGGTTGCAAGTTCCCAGCCAATTGCCGACGCCTCGAGGAAATGTAACTGCCTGCCGAGAATGGCTGGAAAAAGCTAATGAAATTGTCTCCGGCACGGTTGCACAACACTCGCTGAACAAATGGCAAATTAAGTTTCGAAAATGGTTTCCACTTACGGCGCTGGCAGGTTCGTCCCGGTTATTCCCGTTACCAAACCGTCGGCAGCCGAGGCGGTGGGAAAAAAGCAAAGCTAAATGGCAGACAAGTGCATGCCAGTCAAGCCGCTTGACTGTTGAGATGCAGCCCAGTGCTGGGGATCGGGATCTGAATCTGTTGTTGGGGTTGTGTCCCAGAGCTGAGGACCGTGTTTGGTTCTGGCATT